CATGCTATTTGCGATCGTCAAACAAACTGATTAATTTTTTAAATTTATGGGATTGGATTTATATATATAATTTCAGACAGGCTGTACACACAGTTTTTCCAACATGAAGAAGCCAAACACAACACGTCACGTTGACAAAACGCATCATTTAGAAGCTTCTCCCTTTTGTCTCATTATCTCTGCATTCAGAGCTTTATAGGAGGATTGATATTATTTAGAAGTTCAGAACTCTTTTCTTTGTTTAAGCACATCCAGTGAGAAAATACATCCTTGTCACCCTCTTCTTTATGCAACTTTCTCAGCCACTGTGCTGATGACACGAGTGTGTATAAGTCAAAAAAATGAAAAAAAAAAAAAATATCACAAACTATTCAGGTCTGTGGTTTGTACAGACATAAAGCAGTCTTATTTGATAATTTTTTTTTTTTACATTTTTTTTTTTTGAGCATTCTAATATGGAATTGCCGCTTTGATGTTAGAAAATATTTTTACTTTACATCCCCTTATTGTACCATAATTGAAAAGTCGTCTCAGTTTGTTCAAGTGTCAAACATGTTTTGAGCAAGAGGTGGACAGGAGACTGGATTATGAAGAAGAGAAAAAAAAAAAAAAAACTGCAACTCAGTATACCAATGCAAACAATGTTGACTTACTTCAGCAAGGAAAGAAACAAAGTGATTCTTTCTTTTGTCAACAAGGCCAAAATAAATAACGTTTTCTGAATATTAAGATGTATGAAGTACCAGAATATTCTGTGGAAAATGCAAAATATATTCTAAAAATAAAAAAGCTGTTTCATCAACAGGTGACAGACTGTAGATAATAGAATGAAATTTTAATTACAGTAAGCCTAACTGCCACATTTAAAGAAGCAATTACATTAAACAAAATATTTTCTCTACGTTTCGTAATCAAATTTTAATTCTTTGACAAAACTCATTCTGCTTTCCCTTGATTACGCATTTTCTGAGATGCAAACTGAATTATAAATTACGTAGCGAGCATGATAGAAAGCGATATGAAACAAAGATGTGTCTTCTCTACAGATTTATTTAACCGTTCCAATGATGCTATCCTAAGGGAATTGGAGACACTACGAAGATTTATCAGTGGGTGTAATCTTAACAATATAAGATATATTTATAACATTGTGTTGAAGGTAGACATGGAAAGAAAACAGCAGGACCTCCTAGACAGTGTAGCAGAAGAAAATGATAAAAAAAAGACTAAACATCAATCGCAAGAAGACAGACAGTATGGCAGTGAGCAAGAGAAAAATCCCAAGATGTGATTTACAAATTGGAGTTACCAACATCAAATAACTACTGAAGTTTAAATATGTGAGAAATGTATTCTGACAGCTGAACTAATCCTAACCTTGAAAACAAAACTAATAAAGAAATAATAGTGAATACTTTTAACTAATTATAGTGCACAAATTCTTTTCACTACTATTTCTCTAGTAGTTTTGTCTTGAAGGTTAGGATTAGTTTAGCCTTCAGCTGTATCAAATGCTATTCATAAGGTGGAGATTTGCATACAAATACAAGAAGTATTTTAACAGCGTATGGAAAATACAAACACATTGGACTCACAAAAGATGCATCCCAAAAGCAAGGTGCTGAGAAATGGAAAGATTTGTTAGACACAAAGAAAAACAGTACTGAATTGCTATGCATTATCCATCCTCTTATATGGCAGTGAATGCTGGGCAATCTCCCCATGGGGCATATTGAAGGCATGAAAGATAGGAGTATGTTGCAAGCCACTTACCTGATGAGCTTGTGGGAATGGATAGCAGAAATGGGGGGTTCTTAGCAAAGGGAGAAAATCTGCTATGAGTCACAAAGGTAAAGGAAATTGTGGAGAGCTATGTTCTGAAGGGATGCAACACATAAAAAAGAACTAGCATAAAAAATGATGGGATTGTTCTATCTTTGGACAGTTCATGGCAAACCTTGAGGGATGCCTGATTCCAACACTGTGGCAGCACCTCCCATATTTCACTAAAGAGGGAGAGTTGGTGGATATCAACACCAGCATGATAATGGTTGCAAAGGCTGGGTAATTTTTGTCCTTGGTTAATATGTACATGTATGGTTTCATCTACCGTCTCGTTCCCACTCTTTCCAAGTTTATTCAACAGGAATAGAGGCTTATCTCTTGTTTCCTGTTTAGGATTAGGCTCCAGCTCCTTCTAAAGTCTTATTTGTTTTCACTCCCAGTAACTCCTTGCACCTTAGTGGCATTGTTGCCTTGTTTGGGGTGAGATGATTATAAAAAAAAAAAAAATTGAGTTACTTTAGATTTAGTTATATTTCAGTAGAGTTGCTAATACAGGGTGGCCCAAAAGTCAACAAGGTGTCTGAAATTTTAATAATCTTTTGTTTATTAAGATATTTTCTTTTTCTTTCAGGTATTTTATAAGAGGCTTTGGAAATTAATCATGTAAAAATACACGACTGAAACACAAACACAAGTAGTAAAATTTTTCTATCAAACTACCATTCGTCCATGCATAGAATACTGTTGCCATATATGGTCTGGTGCCCCTGCTGTTCATCTTAAGGTTCATGACAAAATCCAAGGAGGGATACATAATGTGATCAGTCCTCACTTGGGGTCTCAACTCCAGTCCCATTCTCACTGACATAATTTGGCTTCTCTCTGTCTTTTCTATAAATATTTTCATGGTATCTGCTCTGATGAACTATTTTCACTGCTGCCCAGACTGCATGAATCTAAGCATGCTCTTAGGTTGGCATCTAAGTCCCATCCTTTTACTGTTGAAAGAGTTAAAAGTAACCGCCTCTTCTACTCCAACAGCTTCTCTTGCACTTCCCGACAGTGGAACTCCCTTCCTCTTACTTGATTCCTTGATAACTATAATCTTCAAAAATTTAAATTTAATCGACATCTTCTGTTGTCTTGATCCCCGTTTTTCTTTTTATCCTTTCCTCAACCACCACCCATACCCAATCTTTCCCATTACACTCCCTGTAGCCCTTTGCAAACTAGTGGTACTCCCACTTGGCTTAGGGTGAATTGCTTAAAAAGAAAAAAAAAAAAAAAAAAAACTCAAGTATCAATAATTCAAACTCAACAAGCATATCGTAAACATTATAATGTGAGAAATTCTACAAGTCTTGAACATAAAAGTTCAATTCTTTAAGTGACCTCTTCTATGAAGTGACATACCATGTTTGGTTAGGAATGAAGTTGTCGAATTAGGAAGAGTATTGAAAAAGATTTGAGCACATCAACTCAAAGGCAGTCTCCACAGGTTTTGATCTCTCCGACATCACACCAGTGAATTTTTAAAAGCATCAACTTGTTTCAATGCAACAAGATGGGGGGCGGGGGTCGCAGCTCAAATAGAAAGGGCCACAATCCAGCTTTGCAAACAAATTTTTGCAAAAGCTAGACACCACTTCCCCTTGGGCCTAGCAACCCTGATTTCTTCCTATGGGGCTAATCTCACAGAAAAGATTTTTATTAACAAGCCTCAGACTCTCCAAAAACTGAAAGACAACATTCAGCATGACAACAAAGCAATACAGCCTGAAATGATGAGGGCTGTGATGGAAAATCCATTAGAAAAGGCACACTTCTCAGGCACATCTGCCATATTTTTGTTCTTTCTTGGCTTTGAAGTCAGAACATTTGACTGTATCCCTTTTTGGTGTTAACATCATTCTTACTTTGAGAACTTTTTGTCTTATTACTGTTGCTTTGTCTACATTTGTCTTGCATATATATATTGTTTTGGTTTGTATTATTTTGCCTTATTCTTTTTCTTTCTTTCATTATTTGAAATATTGTCAATTCTGTTGAGCCTTTTTGACAATGTGAAGCTGAAAATCAATGCAACTTAAAAAAATATAATCTTTCCCAACTAATATAAATGTATTCTCCATATCTATTCTATATAATACTGTAAGTATACAAAAGGAGATTACCTCCCTTTGGTTGAGATAAAGTCATGCATGTCACATAATGGCCGCTTAGTGAGCTCACATCATAGAGTGACAAAAATGGCTAGTCTGTAATTTACTCAGTTTATCTTGGTCAAATCTGGAATCCTATGGCTTCTCCAGAAACACAGAATCTCCAGTAGTTCCAGTTCCTGTTAAGAATTATTATATGAATCTATTTTCATCACCTTTTCACTCTGCTTGTTGTTGCATTCATGTTATAGTTTCTCTGCATAGGACAAATGTAAATATGTATAATATAATTGTGTGTATGACTCAGCATTATAAAACTCTCCCTGAGAGCAAAGCAGGGTTGTCATTCCTTTTCTTTCAAATATTTCATTCTGTCTGTGAAATACAGTATTATTATTATTATATCATGGATATAATAATGCCCATAATGGTGGAAATACAAACTGGGAGAATATCCCTTTCTTCCATAGTGTACAAATTATTTGTTGATGCCAACATGACATATTATTAGTACCCCATTAATACTATGGTATTGTGAATTAAAGTTAAAAAATAAAAGAGTTCTTAAATGTTTAAATACTTTAGTGACTTCTGCACACCCCTATAAAAGAAAAATGTGTAATCAGCTCTTGCACATTTAAATGATGTAATAAAAAATATTGTTATCAAATATACAGTTGTTATTATGATGTTCTTATGTTATTACATTATGTTGATATTATTGTTCTTATATTATTATTATGTTGATATTATATTATAATTATTGTTATTATGTTGATATTACGTGATATAATTATCTTGATATTATTATATTGTTAACATAATAACATAATAATTACAACATAATATATGTTGCAATTATTATGTTATGCTGTTATTATGTTATGTGGTGGTTATTATTACATTTTTCTGTACTTTTTGTTCTGTTTTTTTTTAGTTTAGTTTACTGGCATGAGTAGATGCTTAAGATTTAGACAAATTGAATTGCAGTTGCATGGGAATGAGTTGCTTATCGAGCATTTACAAAATCTGAAAAAGGATTTCAATACGTACGGTGTGTTGTAACTGCCCCAATATCGTTGTTCTTTTAATATGGGAGTCAGGTCTTCATATTTGATGTAACCTCTGAGAAAATAAAAAAATGCAAAAAATAATTGTACAGCTATACAAGAAATTTAAAAGTAAATGAAAGGATAATTGAATGACAAAATGAAAAAAAATATTCTATGCCACACGTTTCATCCTTCAAAAGGCCTTTATCAGACTAAAATTTTATGTTAAACTACACATTCTGTCCTTCAGAAAAACTTCAGACTAAAAATTCTATAACAGTTCAGTATTCTTTTCTTTGTTTCTACTTACATGTTTCTGCTTCTTAATACTTTGCTTAGCTTTTGGAAGGCAACTTTTTGCCATGGTGATGCACATTTGGATTTCAGTGTCACTTTCTGTCCTCAGTTAAAACACTTCCCAGATATTTGAATTGTTGTACTTGTTTGATTACAGTATCTCCAATTTGTAATTTGCATATGAGACTGTTTTGCTAACAACCATGCAGTCTTCTTGCTATTGATCATTAGTCCTTTATTCTCACTTTCCTTCACTATCTTTTGTACTTGTAGTTTCCTTTCTGTGTTTGTTATCAACATCTTATGTTGTTAAAATCATGGCCGCCAATATTAATCCTTAACAAAGCACCTTATATACAGGGCGCGATAGGTAAATTGTTGCCATTTTATAGTTTTAATTTCACGCATGCACATTATTTGTTTTTGATTTTGTCACTGCAAGGATTATGGCAGCATTCACCAACTTAAACAAGGAGACCATCTAGAAGAGTTGCAGGAGATTCCAAAGTCATCTGGAGGCTGTGGTTGAAGTCAATAGGGTTTATATTGAATAAATTTACTATTTGGCATTCAAGATACGCAATGTGATAGGTCCTGATCTGGCATCTCATCTACGGTCACTTTCTCACAGACTTGCTGTGGCTTCCCTCTGTCTTTTCTACAAATATTTTTATGATGAGCTAATTTCCCTCATGGCCCAGCAGCATGAATTTAAGCATGCTACTAAGTTGGCATCTTGGTCTCACTTTTTCACTGTCAAAACAGTTAAATTTCTACTCCAACAGCTTCTTCTCTCACACTTCCAGACTACTTGCTTCTCTGATAGCTATAATCTTAAAATATTCAAATGTAATGTCAATTGGCATCTGATAGCTTGATCCTGATCTCCATCCTTTATCCTTTCCTCAAACAACCCTCTTTACTCTTGCGCTTACTCTCTGTAACCCCTTGCATGCTAGTGGCACTTCCACCTTGCTGGAGTAAGTTCAAGTCTTGCCATACTAAACAAAGTTTAGTAAATATTTTTTGGAAAAATGCTCTAGAGTAATGGTTAACAAGTTATTCTTACAAACTATCATTAGTGTATTGATTAAGAAATATTTGTGCATGATCTAGGGTTTCTGCTGTGTTTTCTTATTTGTCTCACAGACTTTTGGTTCATCATTCTGCCAATCTTTTTTTTCTTTAGTATTTTTTCACATGGGGCACATTCATCTTACCGTGAGGAATTCTAACTCCTTTCTCAACAGGAAACCAAATTCTTTATGAATTGCAAACCAAATATGTAAACATCACACACGCACAAAAGATACACAAAATAGTTTTGAGTGAAAAGATGAATTCAGATTCAGAAGCCAAATACAATAATTTTTTTTTTTTTTGCTAGAGCCAATATCTGGAATACAACCCACTTCTTATGAAAAAATAAATAAATATATAAATTAAATAAAACTGAAAAAAATGTCCACTGTGGTTGACATTTTATGTTCTTTTCTTTAGTGTTCTTCAAGAACAAAATTCTTTAGTGTTCTTCAAGAACAAAATCTATGGATGAAAATTATGCCTTTCTATTCTATTATATGTACACTTTAATCATTCTTTTGTGTAATCAAGTTTGGAGATTAGCCAAGTGAAGGATTTTAAAAAATTATTTTCTTTTTTTCTGAAATATTTATTCTATTTGAACAACACTACTATAACATTTAAATTACATCAAATCAATTGACAAATATTAAAATCACTATTTGATGAGTTTTTGTATAAAAAATTCTTAATGATTTCTAATATATCACAACAGTAGGCCATCTTTAATTTTCAAATTCATTAAACTAGACAAAGGTTTTGCTTAACTAGAACACAAACTAGGTATCCAACAAGGTTTCTGAATCACTGCCTTTACCTCTAACCGTAACATATTTCATACTTCCAACAGTTGGTAAATATTATACCATAGCAGAAAATGGATAGGAGATATCATACTATAGTAGAAAATGGATGGTGGTTATCATACTATAGTAGCATCCAATTTTTTTTCTTCAGTCTACTCAAAAAATGTTCATTATTTTCTTCCTTCTTTTAATTTTCTTAATTTTCTTTTATTTTTACAAACTTTCTTTATCTTTTATATCCACAATTCACTAAGCTCTTTTTCCTCATGATGTGTTCAAGAAATTTCAACGGTCTTTTCTGATTCAAAACATTTAAGCGACAAAATTGTAACGTTAATATCTTCAGTTTAAATAAGTATCTCCTTCTTTTATATGCAAAGTACCTTCAGGACATTAGTGATCAAGACCCTCCACAACTTCCTATTCTTTTTAACTCTGACTAATGTTTATCACTTTAGTAACCCTCCCATAGTCTCTGGTCTGCCATTTGCTTACACAAGCTTGTTAAACGTTTCTCTCTCATAATCTTCCCTTCAATATGTCTTGTGAGAGTCAAATTCTCTGAGCCCGCTTTCCTCATTATATCCTAGAAATTTCCACCATTCCAACATATCAAGGCTTAATTGCCTATATTATATATAATGTTGGAAATTTTTTGCATATGCCCAATAGATAGCTACTTCATTAAGCTTAGCTTAGCATGAATTAGCAGTGTCATAACAGTAGGCCATCTTTGAGTATCAAATTCATTAAACTAGCAAATGCTTTGCTTAACTAGAATGCAAACTAGGTGCCCAACAAGATTTCTTAATCACATCTTTTTTTTTATTATTATTCATCCAATATAAGGCCCAAGTGCCACTCAAAGTAAAGGGTTATTAAATGGAGAAATTGTAAGGTCATATAAGAAGGAATCAAGGATCTCATACTATGAGGATATAAGATAGATAACAGTTAACCCTAGACATGAAGAGGTTAATAGTGTAGTAATCAAGGAAGCATCCTCTCAGGAGTCCATTTAACATTGCAACAGTTCAGAGGAAGAAGCTGTTTGAGTAGAACTTACTCCTTACCAACGGAATATGAAGGAAATGAGGATTTACCTCAATGTATACGACATGGTAGATACTAGCCGTAAATATCTAGGCTAGTGGAACTAAGGAATGTAGTTTTGCCATGAAAATAGCAACAGAAGAAGCTAACAATGTTTCATGTGTGGGAAAAGGGTTGTTGGGTTGAAAACAATTCATTACCCATAAGACCCACAAATATAGCATTTTACCAAGGTCCATTAAATCAAGAAAGTCACAAAAAAGGTCATGGTTAATGTCCTTCTTCTTGGAGAGCAAATAAAGGAAAACGTTTCCCCAAGACTTACGGCAGTTGTTCAAGCACAATGAGCAATCCCTCGTCTGGAAGTGTACGGCCTGGAGTAAACAGATTGTAATCAACCACCATCCATTGGTTGTTGTAACTGGAAAAAGAGAAGAGAAAAAAATAATGTTAGGTGCTTTTTATGCAATTGAATTTAAACAGCAACAAGTGGGTGGATAAAAGGCGTTTTGTGTATTACGAGGGAGGAGTGAAGTGTAAAGGTCAGCTGATTGTGAGGATTTTTTTGTTTATTTGTTTTTAGAAAGCATATTGTTGATTGCTTTGAGAGGCGTATTTGGAGTCAGTGGAGACTGATGTTTAGTTGAACGGGGAATAAGAAGAAACAGGCGAGAAAGAGAAAGGAAAAGATAGAGAAGAGGAAGTGAAAATGGTGGGAAGGGAATGTGGAGAAAACAAAAAACAGTGAAAGGAAAGAAGAAATGAATAGAGAATTAAGGGAAAGAGAGAGAGAGAGAGTGAGGAGAAAGAAAGGAAAAGGAAAAAGAAAAAAGGAAAAGAAAGGACATGGAAGAGAAAAGAAGGAAAAGGAGAAAGAGTGAAAGGTATAAGAAGGCTGAGTGAAGAAAAAAGAGAGAAAAAGGGGGAAAAGAGTGGAAGGAAAATAATGTGGAGTGAAGAGAAAAGAAGGAAAAAGGAGAAAGAGTGAAAGGGAAAAGGGTGAGCAAAATAAAAAGAAGGGAAAAGGAGAAAGAATAAAAGGAAAAGAAGGGAGATGGAAGAGAAATGAAGGGAAAAAGAGAAAGAGTGAAAGATAAAAGAAAGGCAAGTGAAGAGAAAAGAAAGGAGAAAGAGTGAAAGGAAAAAGAAGGGAGAGTGAAGGGAAGAGAAACTGAAAAGAAAGAGTAGAAGGGAAAAGAAAGGAGAATGAAGGGAAAAGGAGAAAGAGTAGAAGGGAAAAGGAAAGAGAATGAAGGGAAAAGGAGAAAGAGTAGAAGGGAAAAGGAAAGAGAATAAAGGGAAAAGGAGAAAGAGTAGAAGGGAAAAGGAAGGAGAATGAAGGGAAAAGGAGAAAGAGTAGAAGGGAAAAGGAAGGAGAATGAAGGAAAAGGAGAAAGAGTAGAAGGAAAAGGAAGGAGAATGAAGGGAAAAGGAGAAAGAGTAGAAGGGAAAAGGAAAGAGAATGAAGGGAAAAGGAGAAAGAGTAGAAGGGAAAAGGAAAGAGAATGAAGGGAAAAGGAGAAAGAGTAGAAGGGAAAAGGAAGGAGAATGAAGGGAAAAGGAGAAAGAGTAGAAGGGAAAAGGAAGGAGAATGAAGGGAAAAGGAGAAAGAGTAGAAGGGAAAAGGAAGGAGAATGAAGGGAAAAGGAGAAAAGAGAAGGAAAGGAAAAGAATGAAGGAGAATGAAGGGAAAAAGGAAGGAGAATGAAGGGAAAAGGAGAAAGAGTAGAAGGAAAAGGAAAGAGAATGAAGGAAAAGGAGAAAGAATAGAAGGAAAAGGGAAAGAGAAGAAGGAAAAGGAAAAAGAATGAAGGGAAAAGGGAGAAATGAAGGGAAAAGAAGAAAGAGTAGAAGGAAAAAGGAAGGAGAATGAAGGGAAAAGGAGAAAGAGAAGGGAAAAGGAAAGAGAATGAAGGGAAAAGGAGAAAGAGTAGAAGGAAAAGGAAGGAGAATGAAGGGAAAAGGAAAAAAGAGGAGAAGGGAAAAGGAAGGAGAATGAAGGGAAAAGGAGAAAGAGTAGAAAGGAAAAAGGAAGGAGAATGAAGGGAAAAGGAGAAAGAGTAGAAGGAAAAGGAAAGAGAATGAAGGGAAAAGGAGAAAGAGTAGAAGGGAAAAGGAAGGAGAATGAAGGAAAAGGAGAAAGAGTAGAAGGGAAAAGGAAAGAGAATGAAGGGAAAAGGAGAAAGAGAGAAGGGAAAAAGGAAGGAGAATGAAGGGAAAAGGGAGAAAGAGTAGAAGGAAAAGGAAGGAGAATGAAGGGAAAAGGAGAAAGAGTAGAAGGGAAAAGGAAGGAGAATGAAGGAAAAGGAGAGTAGAAGGGAAAAGGAAGGAGAATGAAGGGAAAAGGAGAAAGAGTAGAAGGAAAAGGAAAGAGAATGAAGGAAAAGGAGAAAGAGTAGAAGGGAAAAGGAAGGAGAATGAAGGGAAAAGGAGAAAGAGTAGAAGGAAAAGGAAAGAGAATGAAGGGAAAAGGAGAAAGAGTAGAAGGAAAAGGAAGGAGAATGAAGGGAAAAGGAGAAAGAGTAGAAGGGAAAAGGAAAGAGAGTGAAGGGAAAAGGAGAAAGAGTAGAAGGGAAAAGGAAGGAGAATGAAGGGAAAAGGAGAAAGAGTAAAAGATAAAAGAAGGGAAAGGAATGTAGAGGGAGGGGAAAAGTGAAAAGAAAAGAAAAAAGTGAAAAGAAAAGAACAGAAAAAAAGGAAGAAGAAAGGGAAAAGAAGGGAAACTGAAGAAAAGAAAGGAAAAGAAAAGAGAGTGAAGGGCAAAGAAGAAGAGTGAAGGGAAAATAAAAAATGAAATGAAAAGAAGATGAGTGAAAGGAAAAGTAGAGAAAAGAAAGGAGAATGAAAGGAGAAGAAGAAAGAGTGAAAGGTAATAGAAGAGAGGGTGAAGTCAAAAGAAGAGAGATTGAAAAGAGAAAAAAAAAAGAAATGACGAGAAGAAAAAAAGAAGGGAAAGATAGAGAGAAGGAAAGACAAGGAATGAAAGAAAGAAAACAGAAAGAGAATAAAAGAAAAAGAAGAAGAAAAGCTTGAAATAAATAAAAAACAAAGTAAAAAATGAAAAAAAAAGAATAAAATGGGGCAAAACGCTGTCAATCGAGTAAAAGTATGACTTTAACTCTTTCTTTTTCCTTTCACATATTCTTTTTTTCTCTTTCTTTTTTCTTTCATGCTCTGTTTTTCCTCCAACCTTTTATTTTTCCCCAAATTTTCCTTCACTCTTTCTCTTTTTATTTCATTTTTTTTCTTTTTTTTGAAGAGAAAAAAATGATATGAACAAAAAACTACAAAACAAAAAATGAAAGAAAATAAATCAAAAGATAGAAGAAGTTAAAGAACAAAAGGAAGAAAGAGTGAGAAAAGAAGAGAAATGGAAAAGAAGAAAATAAAAAAAAAGAGAAAGAAATGAAACGATAATAACTGGGTTAGAGAAAGAGAAAACAGAGAGAAAAAATAAATGAAGCAAAAAAAAGAGAAAAGGCTCAAAATATATCAAATTATTTCCTAAAGTTCCAATGTCACCTGATTTCTTATTTCATTTTTGTTAATTTATTTTTAACTTTCTAAATTGGTCCCAATACATATACATTCTTGTCCTTATTTCTTTTATTTGATGGAAGCAATATGGCATAGAAAATGTCCAATTCTGACCAAGGAAAGAACAAAAAGCATATAGACAAAAAAAATCGAAAATGGTACGATAGATCGTAACTAAGTAAATGCTCTGGTTTTAAATCTGAACAGGCAGGAAATTAAAATCTCTCTAGCATTCACTGAATCAGAGAACAGACACATTTGGAATAAAAGGGTCCAGTTACCAGCAACCAATGAAGTGCTTAGATTCAATAAGAACCTTGCCTTTTATAAAGTTTTCAAGGTCGGTCAATCAAGTCATCGGCATTTACAAATTCTAAACGTTCGCATCATTTATTTTTGTAAAGTAAAAGCATAAAATATTGGCTGTGTGTAAAAGTTGCAAGCATTTTTTTTTACAGGCTCAATAAAGAAAAAAGAATTCTGTTTTTATTTGAATAGAGAAATAGTGGAAAGTTTTATGCACACTTAAACTCAGACGGGCTAGTCAGGTAGATTTGAATTCAAGAATGTACTTTACAACTGAAAGTGTCTTTTAACGAGGAAAATGAAAGAGAGAAGGGAAAAGAAGCAAAAAGAAAAATGGTGTGAAAAGAAGAGAAAAGTGAGTGGAATTAAAAGATAAAAACAGAGTGAAAGAAGTTGAGGAAAAAGAAAGAGAGAAAGAAAAAAAACAACAAAAGACTTAAAGGAATGAAAGAAACAGAAAGAGCAGAAAAGAGAAGGAGTGAAAAGAGAAAGAGTGCAAGGAAAGAAAAGAAGAAAAATGAAAGCGTGGAAGGAAATGTAGAGAAAAAGAAAAGCGTAAAAGGAAAAGAGTGAGAGTGAAGAAAATTTGGGGAAGAAAGAAAGCATGAGAGAAAAAGAGAAAGGGTGAAAGAAAAATGAAGAAAGGAGAAGAGAAAGAGTGAAGAAAAATTTTGGGAAGAAAGAAAGCATGAAAGTAAAAGGGGAAAAGAGAAAGAATGAAAGAAAAATGAGGAAAAAAGAAAATGTGGAAGAAGAAGAGAGAGAGTGAAGAAAAATTTGGGGATGGAAGAATGCGTGAAAGAATAACAGGCAAAGAGAAAGACTGAAAGAAATAGAGGAAAAACACATTAAAGGAAAAAAGAAAGTGAAGGAAAATGTGTTGAAAAGAAAAGAGAAAGAGCGGAAGAAAAAGAGGGAAAATAAAGCATAAGAAGAAAAGAGGAAGAAGAGTGAAGGGAAATGTGGAGAAAAACAAGTGTGAAAGAAAAAGAATAAAAAGGAAAGAGTGAAAGAAAAAGAGGAAAAAAGGAATATATGAAAGGAAAAGAGAAAGAGTGAAGGAAAATTTGGCGAAAAAAGAAAGCATGAAAAGAGAAGAGGAAAAGCGAGAGAGTGAAGGAACTTGTGGAGACAAAAGGAAAGTGTGAAAAGAAAAGTGAAAAAGAGAAAGATTGAAAGACAAAAAGAAAAAAATGAAAGCATAAGAGAAAAAGGGAAAAAGTGAAGGAAAATGAAGGAAGAAAAAAGGGAAAATGGAGAATATGCATCTTGCATGCTGTTAAAATTTTAAAATATTCCTTAAACAACAAAGAACTGTTTAAAAAAAAACCCATCAATTCTTTAAAATTTTCATGATACTTGAAACCAATTGAATCAAATCAACACCCAGTATGAAATAAGGTAAAAAGAAAATGTCAATTAGACATTTAAAAAAATCAATTCCTGCAGAAACAGTTATAAAATTGACTCACGTTCCACTATTGTATGCTGAGAAGATTTTAGCCCACTGGGGTCCATTAGTAGCAATGCGGTTGGCAACCATTGCTCGTACCCCTTCCAGTACACATTCAGTTGCTAACGTGTTTCTTTTGGCTATTTCCTTATTATTGTTTTCTATTGTCGTTTCCAATGATGCCTGAAAAAGTGAGAGAAAATTAAGTAAAGAATATTGAAATTTCTAAAATATGGAAAACATTTTGGATGAGGCACTCTTAGACATTTTGCAAAGATAATTGTAAGGCTTTAAAGAAAGCACGTACACAGAACATATTCTGCTTATCAAATATGCAACTAAGCAATATGCCAATACTAAAATGCAACTATCAAGTGGCAAGAATATTTACGAGAAAAGGAAGAACAATAATTAAAATTTTGATTCAGCAGTAATTACAAATTTTTCCTGTGAAAACAGAGTAGATAGGTTCGCCTATCATCCAGTTCATACACATTCCTGGTTTTTTGAACAGTTGTATAGGTTTATCTCTTCTTTCCTGCTTAGGATTGGGTTTCTGATTCCTTCTAAAGTTAACCTTATATTTCTAATGTCTCTGCCTAAAGTCTGAAATTTTATATTCTATTTATTTTTCCCCCAACAGGAATAGATAGGTTTGCCTATCATCTGATGTACACTCCTTCCTGATCTTTTGAACAGTAGTAGAGATTTATCCCTTGTTTCCTGCTTAAGATTGGGTTTCCAATTCCTTCTAAAGTCTACTTCAACTCTATACTTCAAATGTATCTGTCAAAATGAACATTGTACATTACATAACCTTAGTGTTTTTCACTTCACACATTAAAATTTAATTAAAATAATGAACACAGCAATTTTTTTCTTAGAAAAAACAACACCTTGATGATGACATTTTGCTAATGTTGAAAGTACTTAGAATAAAATGAATATACATCAACATGGTAATTTTCTTTCTTTCTTTAATAAGGATACTAAGAAACTTGTCTGTAATTACGAGGGGACCCTATTAAAAATAAGTAGACAAAACTTGTCTAAATTATTTAATGTGACATGTCTTAATACAAACATGCTGCCAAATTTATACACACACACACATATATATATATATATATATATATATATATATATATATATATATATATATATATTAAATGTTATTTTTAGTAGACACTCTGTCTATTTTTTTAAACAGTATTTTATTTCCTCTACTGTCTCGAAGTATATATACAAGATAGGTAAGGTATATGAGGGCATACCTTTTTTTGGTTATTGCAGCATTTTATTAAACATTTCTTTCTTTCAGAAAATATTATGGCAAACACTCAGCTTACTCAAGAAATAAAAAGGCATGCTGTAAGTGTGATTTAAAGGCTAAGCATAGTGATTTAGAGATATCTTGATTTTAAAAAGTCACCAGTCCTTTCATCTACAAATTTTGTAAGCAGCTAGAGACTAAAGATGGAAATGTATCACCAGTATCAAATTATAAGAAACATTCCAAATGCTCTCATATCATCAGAACACTTGAGCAAGTTCAGTGGATGACAATCCCAGAAAATCTTAGAAGTCACTTGCAAAAGATTTCCATGTGTCAGAAGGAACATTCAGAAATGTTGTTCATGAAGACATCAGATATAAGTTTTATGCGATGAAGAAAGGTCAATTTAAGTCAGAAAAAAAAAACAGAAGAAAACCATTTAATCCGATCTAAGTTTAAGACACCAGGCATCCAGTCAAAGACTGAGATAAAAATTTAGTTTATATTTAATCTGAATAAGATGTTTTTTGTCATGTTTCATCTATTTTTACATATTTAAAATGTCTTCCTTTATCACATTTCCCAGTACTAGTCCCTAAAGGCCTCCCTACTTGAGTCTTAAAGGCATACAATCAAGGAGTTGTTCCCAGGCATCACAAAACCACTGCATGTTACTGTTTCACCTCAAGCAAAACAATAAAGTCATTAAAATGCAAGGGGTTACTAACTTAAAAAATCCAGCAAAAGATGATGTGATTTGTTTTCTTTGAGAAAAACTTTGACCAAGATCAGAAATTTAACAAAAAAATGACAGTTGTGGACAGTTATGTTATCATCTGAAGTTCCCATCTGAAGTTCCCATCTGAAGTTCCAACAATTATGCCCACAAAACTACTTGCAACTGTCATAGTTTTTGAGGTTGTCAAAAATGAAGGGCATGTGATGTCTTCTCATTTCTTTCAAGAAGGCCTTAGATTTAATTCTGCTGCCTACATTGAGGTCTGTTAATAGTTGTTAAACCCTGGATAGACAGTGTATACAATGGAAGGCTTTATATGTCCCAGAATCATCACACAAGGCTCAGATAACACAAGAATGGATGGCTGAAAATTTTCATGATCATATAACCTCTAACATTTGGTTCCCTAACTCCCCAGATCCCAATCCATTGGAATCTTATATATGAAGCATTGTTGAGAGTGAGGTCAAGGAACACACCCATAACACCAAAGATTCTTTGAAAGCTGCCATAGTCAGAGTAATTTCCAATATGAATGAGGGCCATTTAATTTGAGCAAGTAGATGAATTTGATCTCGCATAGAAGCAGTTATCAAAGGTGATGGTATTCACCAAATAAAATTATGAGAATGATAATGTGTTCTTATGTTTATAACATTTTTCAATAATAAAGTTATTATCTCTTATTATATATCTATTTTTCTATAAACATGTCTGTCATCAAATACCTTACATATATATATATATATATATATATATATATATATATTGTATTTAGGCAACAAACCTTTATTTATACATGTTTCACTAAAGACGACAGACAATGTACTGTGATTAAATTTTTATTTAATTTTTCTTGTGTTCGAACAAGTGTTTTCGTTTCTGGACACAGTGTGTAGAAACTGTCCAAATGTTCTCTAATTCCAAGCGCTTTTGAATTATTGACCACCAAATTATATTATTTCGACCCAAAGTGAATAACAGTGATAGTGAACACACAGTCAAAAATAACATAAATATTTTCTAAAAAAGCCAAACGCATGTCAAATACAAACAAGATGAATCTTCACTTAGAAATATCATAAAGAAATATAGTACCCCAATTGACCCAAACAAAAAATCAAATTCATTATCGACTACAAAAATATTTAAAACAGCTAACCTTATCCCCAAAGATAACAACCAACCAGCAAAATCAAAATCACAACGAACGAATATTATCTATGAGATGAAATGCCCCTTAAGGAACTGTGTTTCTGATCAAACCAAATTCATAAATGATTACATTGGTCACACTACTACATGTCTATCCAGACGCCTTAGACCTATCCGACTACAGCTCCATCAGAACCCATTTAAACACACACACAAACTTACCAGACTCCATCTGAAACATACTAGTAGAAAACATAAACATAACTACCTGATCCACATGTAAAAAAAAGATTAAAAATAATGGAAGCCTTAATAATGAAAAAAAGAAAAAGCCAACACTCAGTAATATTGACTACAAAAATGGCCACAATGTGCTAAGTGTGTTTGGAAAATAAAACATCCGTATAACTCTAGAAACATACACACAACCTATACGCCCAATTAAAAAGCAAACATAAAATCATCCTTGATAATGGCTAAAAGTATAGCCGAATTTCAGAATATTTGAACAGTTTCTACACACTGTGTCCAAAAAAGAAAACACTTGTTCGAACACAAGAAAAATTAAATAAAAAGCTTAATCACAGTACCTTGTCTGTCATCTTTAATGAAATATATATACATGTTATAAGTTATGCCTGTTTGCCAGGATTTACAGCTGGAAAATGGTGTTTAATAATGTGTCATATGCCAAATTCACCTTCTTTGTAATTATTGTACATCTGGTTACAGTAAAATATGTTGATGTTTTGTTATATTGTATAACAATATATTGTATGCCTGAGTGGTATAAAGTTTTTTATATGTTAATAAGCACAAAAAATGAATATAAAACTCAATTTTCAGAACAATAGGTTAAATGCAACAAATTTGACAGGTTAATTATGCAAAATAGAAAAAGACAAAATTATTCATACAGTAGAAAATACCATTTTAAATTGATTGATTTGTGTAAGTATAAGTAATTTACAGAATTATTTTATCAATGACGCCTTCTAGACTATTTATTCAGTAGAATATTCATGGTAATTCCAGCAAAGGACATCACGTGGTGCATAGAGTGTCACCATTGTTATTCTTACATTAACAAGTTGATGGGGAAGTCAAGGGAGCTTAGTGTTGACTTGAGACATAGAAATATTAACTTCCACAAGTCAGGAAATAGTTACAGCACTATTTCAAACCAGTTAGCTATCCTAAGATCTACAGTACAGTCCATTATAAAGAAGTTTGAATAGTTGTTTTGAAAGACATAACCAAAAGTTTGGATATGATGGGTATCATCATAAGTACTCACACAATACAACATTGTTTAAATAGAAATAGGTTGTATGGAAACTGACCACGACGAACCCATCTTCACAAACTATGTCACATTCTTGCTCAGCTTAATTTTGCTCAAACATTCTTGGATAAATAAAATTGCTTTTGGGAACAAGTACTATGGAGTGTTGAAACAAAAATTGAGCTTTTTGGACATAATGATATACAGAAGATTTGGCGCAAGAAAGGTGAGGCTTTCCTTCCAAAGAACTAAGTAGCAACATTAAAACATGGAGATGGCTTGATGATGTTTTGGGGTTGCTTTAGCTGAAAGGGTACTGGACAATTAATTGCAATAAGAGGAATAAGGAAACCTGCAGACTATATCTAAATTCTAGAGGAAAATCTACCACTATCAGTGCAAAATCTTCATCTAGGTCAGTAATTTACTTTCCAGCAAGATAATGATCCCACACATACATCTAAATCAGTAAATGTGTGGCTTTAGAAAAAGAAGATTACACTTCTACCAGAAGAAAAAAGAAGATTACACTTCTACATTTTCAATAGGATTCAAGTCAGGACTCATTTCAATGAGTCCTGACTTGAATCCTATTGAAAATGTATGGCAAATAGAAATAAATCTTTGGTCACCAAAAATCTTCAGGAATTAGAACGTGTAAGAAGAATGGAAGAAAATCCCAGAAAAGACTTGTTCAAATCTCAGCAAAAACTTTACAAAATGATTGCAGCAAGTTATAAAGTTGAGAGGCCATGCTATTGACTATTAATATGGTGAAAATTGTTAAATTTGTTGTATTTTTCATGCAGTATGAATAATTTTGTCTTTTCCTATTTTGTATAATTCACCTTTCAAATTTGTATTTAGCCAATTGTTCTGAAAAATTGAGTTTTATATTCCTCTTTTTGTGCTTACTAACATTAAAAAACCCTGGCATCATACAGGCATTAGATTCTGAGAAATTGATAAAAATATTCAAAATTGATGGGTCTAAAAATAATTTCATCATTGACTGTATATATAAAAGGTGTATCAAAAATACTTTTACAAACATTTTTTGGGGGGTGGGGTGACAAGTTTGCAAATTCTTCCTTTTTGACTTATTAAGTTTAAAGACAATTTATGGTAGATAGCATAGACTTTTTTTTTCCAGTAATGGTCGTGCTGTATAAGGCCCGGGGCCGCTCAAGGTAGAGGGTTACATTAAGAGGTAGTTTATACAGATAGAAGCATTGGTGGTGTGGGGTAACGGTTAACCTTAGACAGGTTAGGACTGTAGTGATCTGAGAAACATCATCTTGGGAGTCAGTACCACAGGGCAGTGGTTCACAGGAAGAAGTTGTTTGAGTGGAACTTACTTTTTGCCAATGGAATATGGAGGAAATGTGAGTGATTTTCTATAATGTAAGTAGCATGGAGGGTAGCCATGAATGTTAGAACTGGTAGAACCAAGAAATGCAACCATCTGAGCACTTTTCATGGCAGTAAGCAATAGAGCAGAGTGAGGTTTGCCACATCCTGCCTGTGAGAGAGAGAGAGGTTGGAGGGTGGAAAATAATTCTTCTCCAACGAGGACTCGGAGATGCTTTTGAACTCTATCAGGACTCAGAAAGTGAGGACTGGGCAGCTCCTGGCCAAATCTAACAACAGGATTCCATCTTCAGCCTGATTTGATTCTTGCAAAGTTAGGGGATAGCATAAAGTTCAAAATTAGAAGAGATTATTAGAAATGCCAATACAAACTAAACTTACCATTCCAGATGAGAGAAGGTAATAATCATCACCAGAGTAAAGTAATCCAGGGTATGATGAAAAACTAATTTTTCTACCAGGAATGACATCTAGAATATAATAATGCAATCCTATTAGTAATGTGGTAAGTAATCATTGAATGAGTAAATAAAGCAAAAACAATTAATATCAGACATAAAAACAAAAAAAAAGAAAAGAAAAGCAAGAAAAAGCAGTTCAAAACAAAAATTTATTTCAAAATGGGTATCCACTGAAAATG